TTGCCTACTCTAGTTCTGTACTTTGCACGTTTATTCCATCATTGCCTACTCTAGTTCCATACTTTGCACCTCCATTCCACCACTGCCTTCTCTAATTCAGTACATTGCACCACTGTTCAACAACTGTCCACTCTTGTTCTTACTTTGCACCTCCATTCCACCACTACCCACTCTAGTTCGGTAATTTGCACCTCTATTCAACCACTTACTTTGTTTCTTTACTTTTCACCTCTATTCAACCACTGTCCGTACCTCATTTATCCACTATTAGCTCTATTTCCTTACTTTGCAAGTTTATTTCAACACTTATTACACTAGTTTTGCACTTTGCGCTTCTATTCAACTACTTACTAGTCTAGTTTTGCACCTTGCACCTCTATTGAATGCCTGCCCACTCTAGTTCTGTATTTTTCACCAATACCCAACCAATTACTACTCTAATTCAGTACTTTTCACCACTATTCCACCAGTCCACTCATGTTCTGTATTTTACACTTCTATTCAACCATTGTCCACTCTAGCTCCGTACTTTGCACCTAATCAAGGTAGTTGGAATCTATTTCTCATATGACCCTAGATTGGGGTATCACAAAAATATGTCCAATCCTTTTGACTCTTAAAGTTTATTCCCACCATTGTTACCCTTTTATCATAGCAGGTTTTGTGGTTATTCAAAGGTAAAAGTAAGGGAATTGTTTATGTATCACGATTATTCATATGCAATGGCAAGTTTAAAATCTGAGATGATCTTTATCTGCTTGGTTTTACATTGAATCACCTACTATTGTGGTAAGGAAGTTTAAAATGTCATCAGTTTCATAGGGTCTGAACTACCAAATGGCATTATTACAGATGACTAATTTTGCTATCTGAAAAATTGTCACACTAAAATGATTCGTGAATACATAGCTTACAAATTTGTTATGCCTACAAAAGCATACTCTACTTCAAACAATTTTGCAACATTACAGAAGAGGAGTGGAATTGCTATCTGATGCTCTTTCTCATTACATTTGAAAACATGCTCCAAAATTTTCAATGAAAATTATGTCACAATATATTGTATACAAATTACACTCTCAAACAAATCCTTAAATGGCTCAAAGTAATCTAGGCATTTTTGTAAGAATGAGCATGAAATATTACATCACCTACATTTGTACCTGTATATGTGAATGCACACAAACAATTTGGAACATATATATATATATATGGGGTACAGTAATAAATTATTAAATTGACAGAAAAGCAAATTTTACTGGACGACAAACATTTTAGTCAATTTAATTGTGAAGGAAACTACAAGTCCAAGCTGAAAGTTATTTTACCATTAATCAATGTAGATAACAGCATTACAATAATAAAACAAATGGAATATGTTATACGAGAGAAAAATAACTGACAGAATATCAAAATAAGTTGAAAGATTTTAATGTTCAAAACCAGTCATTTTTTACAGAATTCCTGAATAAAAAAAATAATGATGAAACTGCAAGAAGAAAATTGTAGGTGAAATTTCACCAATATTTTGAACAATATACATAAAACACATACCAAAATTGAACTTGGCCAGAATTTAAAACTTGTTAATATTTTCCCAAGGTCGAAAGAAATCAGAATAAAAGCTATTTAACATTCTGGCAGGGTAAGATCGGAGTTACATGTACCTGCCTCTGTGTCAACAATTTTGAGAGACTTCAAACACTGGTGATGTTTTCTTGGTGGAGCACTGCTGTATTTCTTTTAAAATCAAAGTACATAAATAATCATGTTATTTAGACATGATTCTTCACATGACAACTTAAAGATTGTCAAAAAGTTGTTGGTTGTATGTGGCTATGAATTCATAGCATTTCAATTATTTAGTGAGATACATCAGAAAATATAAATTTAGTAGCATTACATTAGTGATATTAGAAGTCACATTACCTTCTCCATCAGAAAACGTACAAGTTCCAAATGAATAGTTCTTGTTTTCTAATTTGAGTCTCAAAACAATATCATTCAAATAATTTATGTATATTGACTTGACATAAAGAAAGCATTATCTTAGTCCCAATCTCTCTTTTTCTTTCTGTTTTTTCTTCACCATTTCAATATTTCTGTCCCTCCACGAACTTTTTCGGAGTTTAATTGGTCTGTTACCAACATATTTACCTGACGGAAAGAGAATAAAAAATATAGAGAATAAAAGATGAAAGATGTATATCGGACCTTTTTTTTATTGAAGATGCGCAAATTGGTTGCATGCTGCCCTCTATGTTTTATCAGTGTCCATGCTGTATACTTTCTTTTGCCTATGAATTATAGGAAATACATGGGTCGTATCCCTCAAAAATCAGTCCAGCTATTCAAATGGTTTTCCCACTGATAATGTCTAAGTGTATCAGAAGGCTTTTGTTTGCTGTATAATGGCTGGATATAATTTGAGAGTTAGCTGGAATGCGATATCAAGCAACAACAACTACTACTAGTGATATACCTATGATATTATATTATGATATTATATTATTATATATATATATAAAGTTTTTAAAACTACCGTAATTATCCAGGTAAGAGCCCCAATAATTGTTGATTGCATAAAACGAGGGGTGAACGAGAAATAGCTGTGAAAGCAAAATAGGTAGTTTCGCTCTGCCTTCACGGCCAATGTAATTTTTGAAATACATGTGTATGTTGTGGCCTGAAAAAGGGTCATTTGGCTTGTGCTTCCTTAGAAACTATTGGAAATCTTATAGCATATGGAGAGTCGCAAAGCAAGTGTCGTACTCGGCTTTAGCGTCATCGACAATGAAAGCAATGTTGCAATATAGTAGCAACCCTATTTTCAAGTCCACCACGATATTCATGTAGTGAGGCATTCTAATCGTTGGAACTTGCGTTGAGCAACGTTGCTTGACCTCTATGATGAAACACGAGTAGTGATGTCATTTTTAGCCAATCAGTAAAGCAGATGCTTAAAGGTCAAAGATGATTGACAGACTGTAAACAAAAGCGTTGTGTGACATCGGAGCAGAGCTACCCCATTTTTCTTGGCTCTTTATTGTGACGAGACATGAACTGACAGTGCCAAGTTGGCAGTCAGCAAAATCCGTAGAATATAAATGCTAAGTCCAAATTGTCTGCGACGACATCAACGACTTTCGGGACTAAGCAGTAGAGACTGTGTTCGACGGCGACAGCGACATCCACTTTAACTTTGATGTTTTTGACTTTGATGAAGATGTCAAGGTGACCACCAAATTCAGCCAGATTCTTAGTCGGCCGGTGACTGGTCTCGGCCAGAGCCCGAGCTCGGCCAGCATATATGTTGATGGGTTTGTAAATGGGTGTTAATGGATGTCGATTTCAGTGACACAACAGCGAGTGCTGTGTTTTTTTCCTACAAAGTACATCAGTGTTTTTAATTCTAACTGCCCGAGTTATATCAAGGTAAAAAAATAGCAAGTCATTGAAAATGACAGTTTCCATTCAAACTGTTTAAATTAATCCTCATGTACCAAACTTGGTCTTGACAATATTCAAGAAATATATTTACGTGATGAAATACCAAAACAGTGTACATACTGAGTATGACAAATAAGAAATCAAAAAAAGCTTAGAAAGAACTCCCATGTGCTGAGAGTATTGGAGACACATTAAATATAATTCTAAATTACTTGTACTTGATTGAGATAGTGATGGAAAAGCACAATGTAATAGACCATCTATGTACCAAGTTTTATTGAAATGTGATTGGAGCCAAAAAAAATTATGAATTATTATGCTAATTAGGGAAATAATATAAACAGTATTTAACCCCAAACTAATCATGTTTGTACATTGTTCTAGAGCATCTTTGTACTACGTTTCATTGAAATGGAATAATTAGTACTTTAGATATCAGTGTGATAGCTTAAAAAAGGTTAATTATGCAAATTAGTAATTAATATGTACAGATTTTAACCCACAATTATCCAGGTCTGTCTATTGTCCTACAGCATCCATGTACAAAGTTTCATTGAAATGTGATAATTAGTACTTGAGAAATCAGTGTGAAAGCAGAAAATTAAATAATTATGCAAATTAGGTAATTAATATGCACAATTATTTGCCCTAAAACTAATCAAGTCTCTGGATAGTCCTAAAAGATATATGTACAAAGTCTCATTGAAATGTGATGATTAGTACTTGAGATATCAGTGGAAAAACCGAAAATTTACTAATCATTATGCAAATTAGGTAATTAGTAATTAGGTAATTTTCACCAAAAACTAATCAAAACCTAGCACTAGTTCAGAGCTTCTATATACCAAGTTTTATCAAAATCCAATGAGTGGTTGTTTAGATATCAGTGGAACAGTCATGGAACACACACACACACAGGTGTCCCATGAATTGTGGAGCCACCATTGAATTAATTTTTAATATAGTTGAATTAACTTTTAATATAGTTGCGATATGAACACGATTAAAACACGTTCCTATATAGGGTTGTGTTTTAATTGGAGTTTAATTGAACTCAATTACAATGCAATACAATGGAGAATTACACTTTAACTAAGTTTAATTAAACTAGAGTTGAATATCCCGTGACTGAACATAGAAATGTTTGCGA